AGCGGCCACTGCACGCCAGCCTGGGCGACAGAGTGAAACTCCAACTCAAAAAAAAAAAAAAAGAATTCCACTGTCTGGCTAAAACAGGAGACTCGTGACTACCACACAAACCTCCCCCAAGCTAGGCTCCTTGATTCGCTCCAAACACCATGGAAAAGCTCTGTCTCACCCAACGAAGGATCGCTCTTCAACAGGTTTCAGCAGGTGCTCAAGCCAATGCTGGCTGAGAAGCACTCTACTACTTTCAAGGCACCATACTGAGCACTATGGAGAGAGAGGAGGGAGGGGGTCACCAAGAGTTAGGTGACCCTAGGTAAGACAAATCACCTTTCCGGATTACAAGCGGCTCACCTGTAAAATGGATAAAACACTGTCTTCTGCACAAAGTGGCAGTGAGGAGTAAATGAGATTCCAGGTGAAAGCCCCTAACTGCAAATCACATCAGGTCCTTAGCCTCCTAGGTGCCAAAAGCTATGCTTCGCACTTTGAGATACCACACAGAGGGCACATCTGTAGGAAACATGGTCCAGAGCTCAGGACCTCGGGAGAAAGGGTAGTAAAGACATAAAGAAGGCCAGGAGCGATGGCTCACACTATAATCCCAGCACTTTGAGAGGCCGAGCCAAGAAAACTGCCTGAGCCCACAGGTTTGAGACCAACCTAGGCAACTTGGCGAGACCTCATCTCTACAAAAAAATTAGCCGGGCATGGTGGCGCATGCCTGTAGTTTCAGCTACTTGGAAGACTGCGGCAGAAGGATCGCCTGAGCCCAGCAGGTCGAGGCTGCGGTGGTTGAGAGAGTGCCACTGCACTCCAGCCTGGGCGACAGAGTGAGACTCCAACTCAAAAAAAAAAAGGCGTAAAGAGACCGGACTCTAAAGTCACAGGCTCAGCCACTTCCTGGACTGCTTAGATTCCTCGTCTGTAAACTGAAAATAAGGTCTCCTGAAGACAGTGTGAACAATAAATGACATAATGCCACAGGAAGCACTTAACGCAATGCCTGACACAGAGCAGGTCCCCAATTAACAAAGAGCTGCTATCATAATTCCTACTCTCAGACATCCCACGAGAGGATGCCGGCCCTACCGTACCCTCCCTCAACCGGCCTCAGGGTCCTCATCCCCAAAATGGAGCCGAGGCCAAGCTCCGCCCTGCAGCACCGAGGGCAGCTGTGAAGCACGGACTGGAAAAGCAATGCTGATACCACCCTGTTGTGCGACTTCCTGTGAATGACAAGGTGGACTCCTGTGGAGCAGACCCCTGCCCGCCTGTTCCCGGGTGACTCCTCAGCGTTTAGCACGGCGCCCAGCACCCAGCAAGCACTCAACACACGCCCGCTGAAGACAGAAAGGAGTCCGAAGACCTGACTGGCTTCTCACCATGCACCGCGCTAAGACCTTGCGGCCCGTAGTATTGCCATGCCCACTTTACAGATGAGGAAGCCGAGGTCCAGAGCGGGTAAAGTACCAGGCCAAGGTCACAGAGAATGGGCTCCAACCCGGGTCTGAGTCCACAGCCGGGTCTCCTACCAGCAGGCTACCACCTCCCACAGTGCGGGCCGCAGAGATCCCGGCATGGCCCACACATACCCTCCCGGGTCCCGACCACCATGGGACCTCCTG